CAACTTCTGCAGTCTGAAATTGACCAAACATGCAATCAAGATGTGTTGCTTATCACTGGTGACTAGAATCTAAAAGTTGGAGACAAAGAAGAATCACTGGTAGTTGGAAAATTTGGCCTTGGTGACAGAAATAATGCTGGAAATCACATGATAGAATTTTGCAAGACCAAGGACTTATTCATCGCAAATACCTTTTTTCAACAACACAAACAGCGGCTATACACGTGGACTTTGCCAGACAGAGTACACAGGAATCAGATCGACTACATCTGTGGCAAGAGGCAATGGAAAAGCTCAGTACTTCAGCCAAAACCAGGCCAGGAGCTGATTGTGGAATAGACCATCAACTGCTCATATGCAAGTTCAAATTAAAGTTGAAGACAGTTAAAGCAAGTCCGTGAGAGCCAAAATATGATCTTGAATATATCCCTCCTGAATTTAGAGACCATCTAAAGAATAGACTTGATGCATTGAACACCAATGACCGAAAACCAGAAGAATTGTGGGATACCATCAAGAGCATCATCCATGAAGAAAGCAAGAGGTCATTAAAACTATGAGAAAGAAAGAAAAGACCAAAATGGATGTCAGAAGAGACTCTGAAACTTGCCCTTGAGTGAAGAGTAGCTAAGGCAAATGGAAGAAATGACAAGATAAAAGAGCTGAACAGAAGATTTCAAAGAGCACCTCGAGCCGACAAAGCCAATTACTATAATGAAATGTGCAAAGACCTGGAGTTAGAAAACTAAAAGGGAAGAACACACTTGGCATTTCTCAAGCTGAAAGAACTAAAGAAAAAAATTTAAGCCTTGATTTGCAATATTGAAAGATTCTATGGGCAAAATATTGAATGATGCAGGAAGCATCAAAAGAAGATGGAAGGAACACACAGAGTCATGGTACCAAAAAGAACTGGTTGAGCTTCATCCATTTCAGGAGGTGACATATGTTCAAGAACCAGTGGTATTAAGGGAAGATGTCAAAGCTGTGCTGATGAAATTGGCAAGGAACAAGGCTCCAGGAATTGATGGAATACCCATTGAGATGTTTCAACATATGGATGTCCCACTGGAGGCACTCACTCAGTTATGCCAAGAGATTTGGAAGACAACTACCTGGCCAACTGACTGGAAGAGATCCATATTTGTACTCATTCCAAAAAAAGGTGATCCCACAGAATGTGCAAATTATTGAATAATATTGTTAATAACACATGCAAGTAAGATTTTACTGAAGATAATTGAAAAACAGTTCCAGGAGTGTATTGACAGAGACCTTCCAGAGCACAGGCTGGATTCAGAAGAGGATACAGAACGAGGGATATCATTGCTGATGTCAGATGAAACTTGGCTCAAAGCAAAGAATACCAGAAAGATGCTTACTTGTGTTTTATTGACTATGCAAAAGCATTTGATTGTGTGGATCCTGACAAATTGTGGATAACATTGAGAAGAATGGGAATTCCAGAACACTTAATTGTACTTATGAGGAACCTGTACATAGACTAGGAGGCTCTCGTTCAAACAGAAAAAGGGAACACTGCATGGTTTAAAATCAAGAAGGGAGTGCGTCAGGGGTGTATCCTTTCACCATATGTATTCAATCTGTATGCTGAGCAAATAATCCGAGAAGCTGGACTATATGAAGAAGAATGTGGCATCAGGATTGGAGAAGAATCATTAACAACTTGTGATACGCTGTTGACACAACTTTGCTTGCTGAAAGTAAGGATGACTTGAAGTACTTACTGATGAAGACTGAAGAATATAGTCTGTAGTATGGATTACATCTCAATATAAAGAAAACAAAAATCCTCACAACTGGACATATAAGCAGCATTACGATAAATGGAGAAAAGATTGAAATTGTCAAAGACTTCACATTGCTTGGTTCTATAATTGACGCCAATGGACACAGCAGTCAGGACATCAGACGACATATAGCATTGGGCTAATCAGCTGCAAAGGACCTCTTTCAAGTGCTGAAAAGCAAAGATGTCTCCTTGAGGACTATGGTGCACCTGATACAAGCCATGGTATTTTCAATCACCTCATATTGCAGGTGAGAGGTGGATAATGAATAAAGAAGACCAAGAACAGTTGAAGCTTTTGAGCTGTGGTGTTGGCAAAGAATGCTGAAAGTACCATGGACTGCTAAAAGAACAGGTCTGTCCTGGAAGAAGTACAGCCAGAATGATCCTTGGAGGCGAGAATGGCCAGACTTCGTCTCACATACCTTGGTCATGTCGTCAGAAGGAACCATTCCCTGGAGAAGGATGTCATGCTTGGTAAGGTGGAGGGTCGATGAAAGAGGGGAAGGCCCTCAATGAGGTGGACTGACATGGGGGTGGCGGCGATGGGCTCAAGTGTAGCAAGAATCATGGAGCTGAGTCAGGATCGGGTGGTGTTTCATTCTGCTGTGCATGGGGTCGCTATGAGTCGGAGACAACTCAATGGCCCCTAACAGCAACAATAACATCAGTCATAATTAACTTGATAGCAGTGGGTTTGGTTTTGATACTTATTTATACATACATATGCTTCACTGGTTTTACTAGAGAACCCAGCCTAAGACACCTAACCTATCTTGATTGGCATCACCCTCTCACCCCAGATTATCTAGGAGCAACCAGGATTCTGATCAGGCCACAGTTGGACAGACACAAGTGAAGGGGAGTAGGAACCAAAAGGCTAAACCAGTCTGAGCTGAACTCTGTGCTGGGCAGTGAGGAGAAGATAAGCCAGCACTGAGATGTTTCCTCTCTGGCCCTTCTGGACATCATGGCTAGGCTCTGGAACCAACGCTGTAGCCACATGGTTTCTTCTTACTGAACACAAACCCCCTAACATGGTCACCATGGGCCTCTTGTCCTCAGCAACATAAGACATCCAAGATCTCACACCTCAAGGGCTCCTAGTGATTTCATCCTAAGTAATTCTACTGAATAGAAGTTTACATTTTCCCAACTTGGCCCCAAGAGTTTCAGCTTGTTGAGAGTTACTATAATGGTTTAAAGGTGTGGTATAATGATTTTAGATCAGATGGACCTGGTTTTGAATCCTGGTTCTGTCGCTTCCCACTGAGGTGGCTTTGACTAAGCCTCAGTGTCCTCATCTTTAGAGTGAAAATAACACAAACTACTTCACAGGGTTGGTAAGGAGTAAGGGAAAAGTTCCAAATCTGGTGGCTGGCATATCGTAGATAGTAAATGGTTACTGCTGCTTGGGGTAGTATTATATAAGCCCTTGGTGAAGGTAGAGTTATGTCAGCCATATTTTTAAAATGGTCTTCTCTTAGCCAAACTGGGAGCACTGTTTAGAGTGTTTGCAGATATCCATCTTGATGTAGAAAGCAGAGAGGCAAGGAGCCTGCAATTCACATATTCACTCAACCAAAGTTTATTGAGAACCTACTGTGTGCTAAGTGCTGAGCTACAAAAGTGACAAACGCAGTCCCTCCTCATAGAGTATTAAGAATCTCTGAAAAGGGTTAGGTAGAGACCATGGATGGTATGGTCTATCATCAGTGGCATGAGGTAGCCACTTGGGTGAAGGTGACATTGAAAAATACCAGGACAGTTGTGTGGTTTCAGACCTTGAAGCTGGGAGGAAGGGGAACTGAAGAACTTGGAATCATCAGAGGGCTTCTTGAAGGAAAATCCTCTCTCTTGAATGAAAGGTCAACTCCATATCCCAAGAGTTCAGTAACCCTGTTCCTGTCAGGGCTTCAAGCCACTTCTTCTAGCTTCAGTCATGGCTGATGAAGAAAAATCAGAATGGACTTGAATTTGTAAAATATGGGTGAGCAAGAACGATAAACAGAATAGAAAAATTATAGGTCAATGTCCCAGAAACATAATCTCCCTCTTATAAAACATCATGCACATTGCATAGCAACCAAATCTCTTGACCAGTAGAGGTGGAAAAAACGATGCTTGGCTCAAAGATGGCAGCCAACCTCCTTTGAATATATGTCGCTCTCCACAGTCCTGGCAATAGTCCAGTCTCTCACATCAGGCTTCTGAAAGGACTCACTACGCCTCTTCCATGTCTTCCATTCCAGGGCTTTGACCCATAATTTTTCCCAGTCTGTTTATCATTCGGATACACTCAAATTTAAAAACTTTGGTCTGTTCTGATTTTACATTATCAGCCATGATTGAACCAGCTTGAACTGGTTCAAAGTTCTGGTTCCTCTCAAAGGGGATGAAGTTGGTGGTGGTGAGAGAGAAGAGAAAAGTAAGATTGGCATTCTGCAGCAAGGGCCTGGGGTGGGTTAGCTTTGGCGCCCATTACCAGTAGACCCTGCCCACAAGTGGGATGGCAGGTACCTGGAAAGGGAACTTACCATTTCTAGGTCAGAATGCTGAAAGCACTGCAATGTAGCTGGAGGGCTAGGTGGAATGGAAGGATGCAGAGTGGGGAACTAGGCAAGAAGGCAGGGGGTCTGAAGGACCAGCACCAAGTCTTAGAGGTGGCTGTTGGAAAAGTGATGTACAGAGAGTGGCTGTTATTGCCCTCAGCTGGTAGAATAGGACAGAGAAATCACCCCCCCACCACCACCACCAAGTTAAAAACCTGGAGCCCAAAATGTCCTATTAGGCGAATGAGAACAACCCACATGGTGAAGATGAGTATCTGAGGGCGGAGTGTTGAGTGTGCACAGGATTTTAGAGTTGGAAGGGATCTTCAATGTCATTTAGTTGGAGCTTCCACCCAATGAAATCTTTCAGTCTTCCACTGGCCATTTGAGGGCACCCAACTCTACTTGGACACTTCAAGGTACAGGGAACTCACTCCCTTCTAGGGGGTGTCATGCTGTGGAGGTGCTCGCGCCTCCAGGACGGCCTGATTGGGCTGGCGCCCCGACTGGAGTCCTACACAGCGGGCTGGGCTCTACTCCGCCGCGGCACCTGGCGGGGGGTGGCAGGCTGGGTGGGGGCTGCGGCGCGAATGGGTCGGCGCTGCTGTCCCTAGCCCCAGTGCTGAGGCAGTCAGAGTGCAGTGGACTCTGGTGGAGGTCGGGAGAACTGCAGGGCGAAGGCCGCCGGGGGCTCCGCGGGCAGCGGGGGGAGGCACTTGACACCGGCCGGGGGAGAGGAGGGACTGCTGTCCCTGCGGCCAGTGCTGGATGCGGGAACCCAGCGCAGAGGCAGCGCCAGGTAGCGGGGCGCCCCACGGGGAGAAAGCTGAAGCAAGGCCCCGGACTCGGCTCCGACCCCAGGGGCTCAGAGTGGCCGGCAGCACGGCCGATGCGCGGTGCCCAGGCCCGGCGCAATGTCGGGGAGCTGCGGGGTCTGGCCCTTAGTCCGGCAGCGTGCGGGGTCCCTCGCCGGGCCGCAGAAGCCAGGAAGTGGGACCGAGGGCGCTA